CAACGCTGTGGAATATTCGACTTTACCCACCGTATAATAAGCGTAAATATTGTATGACGTGGGTAACTCTTTTAAAAACATCCAGTAGTATCGTAAAAAGGGGGTAAATGAGATGTGAACCGCGCGATTTAAGTCTGGCAATTTGGCTAAATGACGGTGGTTTCGTTGTAAAAGGGTACGACGTAGATGATAGAAACGGTTTTGGACTCGGTATTATCGTGTTTGCGGTAATTAAACGACAAATTGCTTTTTTGTTTTGTTTTCTCCTGGCAAATGATATCATAATTGGACGCATAATGGTCGGGGTGACCGCTCTGTTTGTTACTATACACAGGTATTGAAACTTTGTATATTTGAAAAGTAAAATTGGAAATGAAAACTTTTATTCGAAAGGGTTTTACAAATAGTATTTATTTGTTAGAAATATAAATCATTTTGTTACTTAACTTTTATATTTACTGATTGATTGATTGATAACAATTTGATACAGCTGTGAAGTCGAGGTGGTAACCACTAGCAATGTGTTAATACAAATCTGGTCCAAAAAACAATTTCGCATATTATACTTTCAACTTGTAAACCTGTCTCATTCCAAGATTGATTGTTAATCGTTAATTGACACTAGAAAAAATAGCAGGTATATTGTCAATTCCAAAACAGTTTCTTTTTATTTTAATAAAATTTTCAATTCCACATAGTAGCGAGTAAAAATTAAATTTCTATAAGATCTAGAGTTCAAACTGTATCATAAACGACACCGGCATACATTTTGTGTTATTAGTGTTTTATGATCACCTTTAGTGAACAATGTTGCTTTGAAAATTATTGGTGCAAGTATTAAAACGAAGTGTAAGACTGAATTTTAAGATGCACCGGTGTGTGACGTATGTACTTTTCATTTTTATATCGCTTACTTTGTTAGAATTTATGTCTTCTTTTCTCGTAGAGTTTTATAAATATATTGTTTAAATAAACTGCGATTTATGTAGCTAAAAATGTTGTGTAACTTTTGTATACAGGCGATGAATATCTAGTGGTAATAGAAAAGGTATACTGTATGCAAGCTCTAATACCGTTTTCTGAATACGAAGAAATCTACTTTAATCGTATTATTAAGGACAACTCGAAAAGCAAAACAGATCTTGATCAAATTCGTACGGAACTACACACGAAGCACCAGTACGCAAATAAAAAAAAAGATTAATAAAATACTAATTTTATTATTATCTTAGAACTTTTTTCTACGTGAACTATAACGTAGAAAAAAGTTCTAAGATAACGAACACAAAAAAACCATTCAATCGAATTTAGAATTCTTCTTTTTCTTTGTCTGTTGAAAACTACCATGCAACCGTATTGTTTACTAGTGACTCGGTTAAGCTTTCCACGGTTTTTACAGTTTTTCTTTTAACTCAATTATATATGAATATACTTTTTGAGGGCGTCGTGTTTAAGTGATTCATAACTGCGATTAAGCCTACAAAGTAGTGAGTTCAAATCTGACCAAAATAAAACTTGTCAATTTATATTTCTCACTAACTATCCATTGTAGGAAATACCGATATCAAACCAAAAATTCATGTATTATCATGTCGGGAGCAAGTCTAGTGCCATCTATTGATGACTAGCCTTGCTCTCTGCCACGTCGTATTCAATTATATCATGTGTATGTATGTGCTTATGCCATACATACACATGATATAATTTCTTGTGCCAGTATGGGCTATCAAGTGTTGCGTTCACCCCAACATCGACAGTTGACTTTACCTCTGTCTCCTTCGATCGATCCCCCATTCAATTCCAATGAGGATCGAAATTAGGGCGGCCTGAGCCAGCTGAGGTTCGAAACCCTAGGGTGCTCTCAGACTAAAGTCGTATCCATCAGGCAGGAGTTATCCTTCAACTAATCTATAAGTCCTTCCGCGGGTTTAGAGTACCATCCGCACTCGCCTCCTATCGGTGAAGCTGTAAAGGCTAGATGCGGCCAACAACATTAGAGCAGTCCTGAAAAAAAATATACCTCTGACTATTTTGGATAACATGTTTTTTGTTGATCAAAATATTTTTATACATTTCATACTAAATTACCATATCCAATAATTTGTAATATTGTATAAAGGGTTAGGTTATATGGTGCACAGGCAAATTTCACTTAAAATTAAGGTTATCCTCCGCTTTACTCCACGTGACACATACATATATATATTATACATCTTATATTTATATAAATACTAATTTTATAACATAACATAGCTCTACCTGAATATTTAGCTGAGTCATATATTTTTGGAACCTATAGTATACTTTGTTTACTGAATTATTAAACAACAATAGATTTTGTACAAAGATGTCATTGAATCTTCCTTGATAAGATGTGTTTAGATCGAAGGAAGTGAAATTACAGAGCATGGAGGCATGACAAGATGTATTTTCGTACTCTGAAATGGCAACGTATCAGTTGTACCATGGCCGTTACATATTAATGTGATGCTATTCATGTATATACTTACCAGGTGAACGTCAGCTTATTTGCTATTCCAATAACACTAAAAAGCAGAAAAAATTATATTATCCATATTTATTTTAAAAATTATACACAAGAACAGTAATTTTCAAAAAATCTTTTTAAGTAATTGTAAGTCGATAATGTATGTAATTATAAGGGTACTACCCTAAAATTAAAGGTACCACGTAAGTACATGACAGCTCAGATGTTACATCCCGGATAATTTCTTAATCAACACACCTTTGTATACACTAATCGTGTCATTTGAAATTCTATTTGGGTTCAAACAAAAGTGAAGGAATGGAGGCGCAAAATGTTCAGTAATAGATTTTGTTTTGTCGTTGTTGTCTTCATAATATGCTTCGTTTAGAATTTATTTAAAAAAAAACACGTCTCGAATGGAATAACATAGTTATTTCTAGGACTGTATTTTCAAATTTGACATTGAAAAATATAATTTATTTGTTACTTACAAAGGAGTTGAATATAGTTCTAAATTACAATACCTATTAAAATGTCTACTTTTTATTTCAATGTAAAAAGAAGGAGATCCTAAATTCAAGTGTACTTTTATATTCAAATGGCATTATTCGTCTATTTTGAATTTTGGTGGATTGTATTGTTTTAAATGGAAACTATTTACTATATCTATAGAGACATACATATTACATTTAAAAATGACTGTAGTCATAGTTACCGAATTAATTTAAACTTCTGAAAATTTTCCTTATACAAAACAGTTGCAAAATATACATATCTAACAAAATATTCGTAATTTTAATTTATTGCTAGCATTTATTTAAATATTTTTTAAAAAAAGTCTTTTTTTTTATTTAATCATTACAGAAGTATAAAAATTCAAATATGTTCTCTTTATAACATTACTATAGAAATTAATATGTAGAACACTGAAATTACAAACATATCCATGTTCCCAGTTTCAATAGCTTCAGCTCCTATGCCAGTCACCCTGTTTCTGTTTTCATTTTAATTTTATATTAAGTTGAGATTAATTTTAATCAAATTAATTAGTTGCAATTCCTTCCTTGTATATGAATAGTTCATGACTGTCTAATTTGTCTACCTCTATGTCGGCTTGAGACCCTCTAAAGCGTAGTGGTTAACCATATCTATGTTTGGCGTCGCCTGAATTACCAAAATATATCCTGCGTTATTTACGGTCCATGTTTGTTGTTTATTTCTTAATGTAATTAAATTTTGTACACACATTATTATATGTGTATGTAATCCATTATGATATATTATATATAACATTTTATATATCACTAGCTACTCGCCCAGCTTCGCACGGGTGTACATGTATTATATATGTAAACCTTCCGCTTGAACCACTCTATCTATTAAAAATCGCTTCAAAATCCGTTGCGTAGTTTTAAAGATTTAAACATACATAGGGACGGTCAGACAGTGACAGCTACTTTGTTTTATACTATGTAATGATAATGTACCCCGGCCTCCCCCAGTTGCAAAGATTTGTCATACCCTAAATCTATACATTGACTTAGTATTTCTATTATTATTTTTAATCCTATATGTACATACCTCTCTAATAGTAAATATTTGAATATTTAAATACGATTTTACGTTCTAAAATCTATTTTGATAGTCACGCGACTTGCGACATTCTGTGAATTAAATTATTTTACTCCAATTATATTAAGGTACAAAACCGTATAGGTCCATTAGGGCATTATAAATGAATTATAAATTGTGGATAATGTGATACTGAGTTCTGTCTATTGAATAGTAAAAACGACAAATAATTAAAACAATTAGAAACTTAGAATAGTAGTCTAAATGATCTAGAGTCCATTGGTCCAATATTTTACCCTTTATATTATATCTATTCGTTTATTTGACTAGCCCCAGAAATATTTAGCATACGATCTAGACTTTTTACATAATCATTTGTATTCATAAATAAGTTTGTATTGCTGACTATTGTCTAAATCACAGCATTGGGAATTTCTGTCAGTTATTTAGTGCCCATGACAGCTCTACTTTAGGTAATTATTTGGTCTATTTTCATTTATATTTACATAGACATTATTTTACACTCACACATTATTTATGAACTATTACTACACTACGATGTGAGTAGGTTCATTTGTTTGATACCTCACATTTTGACTGTTCCATAATTTGCCATATTTTTATATAGAGGTAATACAATTGGAAAAACCATGAATTATTTTCTTTTCGATCTATAAAGGTGAATTGTTTTTTTGAACGTGGACACTACATAGTTCGGCATAAGATTAATAATTAATATACTCTTAAATACACGTAATACAGAGATAAAAGTAAATATGGCAGACTTATCGCCTAGTGGCATTTTCCACCAGTCAACTATGGGGGCACAGATAAGTTGTTGTCATTAAGTGTGATCTGTAGTAATACAAAAAGGTCGCAAGTTCTGAGCTACTGTCATCATAAAACTGTAGTAATAAACCTCTTTATCTTTTCATTACAGGTACAGCCCATTATGGGGAAGACAGTGTCGGCTCATTTCCATACTTCGAGTACAACGTGCCTCGCAATGTGACCACAGTTGTTGGACAGACCGCCTTCTTGCATTGTAGGGTTGAACAACTTGGGGATAAGGCGGTAAGTGCGAGTAATCTGGCTCTATTTATGACGTATAAACATTTATAACGGTATTTTTAAATTACAATTTTTAATTGCGTAGTCAAAATTCCTGTAAAAGTAAAGTTTAGAATAGTTTTTGATGTTGGCAAATAGTGGAAATAATTTCTAATTGAAGAAACTAGTTCTCCTATCTGTGAAGTTCTGTTTCTTAGATGTTTTGATTATACACAATTTGTTGTAGAAAATCTGTCAACGCATATTTTAAAACTCGAATTATTTTTTTAATAATCGGTTAACTACTAATTAGTACATTTTTTTAGAAATTATAAAATATTTTTTCAGTTGCTTAATTTAAGAAAGGAATTCTATTTTCAAAATTTCTGTATTTCTCTTTCTTAGATTTATTTAAAAATAGAATCTTTGCGATAACAATAATTTTACTTAATTTTAGAAACAAATGCCTCGTTCAAATATTCTTTGAAATATTTTCTTAGATTTTCTTTATAAATATAAAATTTGTTTTAACAATAGAACTTTAAGTGTAATTTCATAAATTACAAGGCATCCTTAGCTGTACTCGGGTGGCTGTGTACTTGACGGAAGTCGTAAAACTTATCCGTACTGTATATATGGATGAATAAATTCTCTAATTTATAAAGATAACCTTATCAAATTTCGTTAACTGCTTTATAGTAATTGATGAAATATAAAGTGGAAATTGCGACTGAGCTTTCTACTATTTATTTATTTTATTTATTTATTTAATTTTAATTCGGATTACATCCATATTGTGTTAGTAAACAAATTATAAACTATGTTAGTAATTTATAATATACATATACGTAGATATATTTAATTCATATGTCTGTGTCCACGTCCAGAAGCAATGAGTCCACAATGCAACGTTATCTAGTGCCTCTGGAGTGTTTGGAGATTTTTATTCTTTGATAGTGCACGTTAACTATGAAAGTCTTTTTTTTTCTCTAATCTTTATAGAATCAGTAGATTATATTGCTTATTATTCAAATTATTACTAGCAAATAGAATGTAAGTTAAAATTTTTAACGATAAATATTAAAATAATTGGTCAGTAAGTATCTAACACGGTTCTTAAATCTCTACATAAATGTATTGATTCACTATTTGCTTGTTATAAAGTAATTTTCCTTAATTGAGTTCTTTTACAAAATAATTATCAGTATTTTTTCAATTTTAAGCAACATTCTTAAATCTTTAAAATACCTACAATATATTTCGTTATATAAGTTTAAAGTATAGAGTCCATCTAAAAAGTGACAATGAATCATTTGCGAAACTAGATTTCATGCAAATATCTATTTGAGTTCAATATTGTTAGAAAAATTTCGATATTTTAGTTAAAGAATTGTCTGAGTCGTCGTAATCAATCCAAATTTATTAAATACAACAAAATTTATACGTCTGACAAGTAATAATTCAATTTCAGGAGATTTTAATCTGTGACCTTTTCTAAGATAATTGATAATGAATATTTATAAAATACTGGCAGAGTCCCGCTACTTCGTGTGCTTTTTAAAAACGAAGGATAGATTACGTCTATCCTCATTATAGTATCCAGGTTTATACAAAAATTTTATCCGAATAAAATTTTTGTATAACAGATGGCGTTATACATGGTTTATTTAATCTTCTTGTTTTATTTTATCATCATCATCATCATGGTGATATACAAATGTACACACGTACAAAACCACGGACACCACAGTTAATTAATATATATGTACAGATAAAATATCCATTGATACAAATACATTTGGCTAGGTTATCGAAATCATGACCCTAGGGGTTTCAACAAGCTCGCGACAGCTGGAGTATTGATCAGTCTATTTTCGAACAAGCAATCTCGGATCAGAATAAATTGGCTGTATATTCAACGTCAACTATCGTTATACTAATCTGCAACTAAGATATATTATATTAAATTGAAATTCAAAATATCTTTATTCATGTAAATCTATTACAGACGCTTATGTTATGTCAAATCTACCGTCAGTTCTAAATTATGTCGAGATGAGAAGAACTGACAAAGAACTCAGCATGTATTTTAAAAGATTAAAATAAATGTTGTACATATTTACAACAATACAGATTCATTTCTAAATTCAAATGTGGGATAGATTATAGAATTATAATAGAGTGACCACCAGCATTCGTAACCCGAACAGACCAGTCCCCATAACTGCACCCGTTCACGACTATGACGGATATATATAAAGCTTCGAACAGAGTTTTGATCGACTATTGAATTGGTAAATAGCGTTATGGCTATAATCCCTCTTCATAAAAGGTTTATTTTGTTTGATACTGTTTGAAAAGTGCCTCAATCCAGTGTTACATACCTACTTATATCATCAACATCATCATTGCAGCCCGGGAGACGTCCACTGCTGGACATAGGCCTCCCCCAAAGATCTCCACGAGCACCTACTTATAATATTTATGAAAATGCGATAGTGTGCTTGTCTGCCTATCTAAATGACCTTTTTTAGGACTACTTAAATGCTGTTAGCCACAGCTGGCGAGTGCACGACTATGGAACGGTTGAAGACCAATTCCTGTTTGACGGATAAGACATATACAGGTTATTATTATCTTAAAAAATAATCTGGAAAGAGGAAAAATTGGGCTTGATAGTTTGTGAAGACGAGTTGCGGGTTATAGTAATTAAGCTTTATGTTCTCATATACATGCATGCATTCATGTACTGAGAAAATTATGAACACTGTATGAAAGTTTTAGCCACTAAACTCTTAGTATGGCCAGTATTAATACAAGGGTGGAGGTATTGAGACCAAACTTTATGATTTGTATGCATAATATAATGTATTAAAAGTTAGTAACAGAAATGAAAATTGACATATAATTAAGTCAATCAATTCACAATGAATAATACAACAAATATTACGTTGGTAGAAGAAGAATTTCTGTAGTCTTTTTATTTTTCAGATTAAAACAAAATCCGCCACAGATTTACAATATTGCACAGCACGTAGCCGCGATTGAATAACGAGCACGTCATAGCTGTATGAGCTATTAAAACTTTGCTTCAGTATTTCTTCTAAAAAAAATTTTTGGAGAATAGCAACAAAAACGCAAAGTGAAAAAATGCAAACGAATCCATAGTCGATAGTTATCTCTAGTGTCTGTTTCTCACAGAACTCAACAAGAACAGCAAATAAACTTTAGCATCATTCATTATTGCTAACACTCGCATTAGTTTATTTAAGCTTGCAAGAAAACATCCCGTGTTCCGATTCTAAGATGATATACGAGTACTTAACACACAGACAAACTTACGTGAAACTTTCCTCCCTTTCCAAAAGTTCTATTTCAAATAGCATTAACTAATGGTTTTCTACAAAACAAACAGATGCCAATAACAAAAACGAATTGGAGTGTACGATTTCACAACGGTGGAGTTATACTTATAGGATTACCTCAAGTTTTTATGTTATTCTATTCCTTAACAAACTTCCAGTATTTCTTCTGTAGTCTATGATTAAATGGAATTAAAGTATACTCTATGTTCTGTTTTTTGGACACTTTCTTCTCAGTTTCTTGGTTCGTTTATAAAGGAAAAGGGCATTTGCCATAACTGGCCACTAAGAAGAAACAAATGGCCACTTAATTTTACAAAAAAATAATATATTTAAAATTGGAACTGTTATACGAAAGATGCTCAGAATTTATTGTATTGACACTAAAATAATGGAATAATTTTATTTTTAATAATAAATCTACACTTTAGAGTATTTCGGTATTAAACTATATACTACACATCAGGAGGTGAGCAAAGCTGAGCGTTTGATGTTACTTAGCTTTACTTTGGAGTGTTCGGAGTTTGGAAGGCATTCTTTCTAAGCGAAATCGTATTTTTCCTTCTTTCAAAATTTCCTTTCCTTTTATAAAATATAGTCCACTTCTATTTTTTATTAGTTATTACTCATAGTATTGGATCCCGTACCTGTGTACAGGATCCAATACTATGAGTATGTTGTAGTCGAGTAGTTGAAGACCCGACTTAAATACTTAGGTTGTAACGTCAAATCTAGCCGAACCTAAAAAAATGTCCAACAATATATATTAACTGACTTTCCAATGACGAAACTTCCTTGGCAGTAGGCTTGCCAAGTTGCCAAGTTGAAGTTGCTTATTGGCAAACAAAGTGTTACGATCACCACACAACGACTAAAGTATTCTAAAAAAACACCAGATATTTCCCTAAATGGAATGACAGAAGTTTAGATAACATTAAAGAAAATAACTCACGCCACTAGAGTCTTGGCTGTAGGCAATTTGAGATTATTGAACCGAGATATCCATTACTCTAGTTTCAAAGTCATTGAGTGTAATCTGCCTCCTATTATTGCCTTTATTCTATTCTTTCGGTCGAAATTTAATATCCGAATCTTTATAAGTTTTATGTAACTGGAAGAGGCATTGAAACTGGCTAGTAAGTGGCAACAGTCGGCTATATACTTAATAATATTAATTAAAAAAAAAACCAGCAAAAGCTGAAACACTGTAAAACGAAAAATTAATAAACTCTTTATTTTGCACATAGAATACAATAAGAAAAATGGTAAATAAAAAAAATACAAAACCTTAAACAGCACTCTTAACTTATTTCTCTAATAGAATCCCATGTGCATCACATGATGATACCCATGGAATTATATTAGCCATATGATATGAGCTGATGATGGAATATGACTATGAAATTAAGGGACCTACAGACAACTCATACCTACTACATATCTACTTGCACTTACTCTATATATTATTAGTGGTCACCCAGTGGCCGAAATTTGATCATAATTAATTTAAATGATAAATTTAAACATTGTTAAGATCTAATTAGACTAAACTAGATTACTGCTATAAAACTTTTTGTGTTCGACGTTCAGTTAGACTATAGACAAATAATATTAATCTATTTTCAATTTACCACAGAATTTAACAATATACAAAAAAACATATATCCGTGTGTGTTAAATACATGGTACTATGTGTAATGTTTTTATTATTGACTGATTGTATTTTTTAGGAATAATTTTCTAAAAATATTATCATTATGTACTCCTTCTCTATATAAAGTATAAGTATGGGAAATTTCATAATCCTTCAATTGCGCAATTTTCTTAGAAAAGGGTACAAAATTCAAAATACGAAAAATCTAATATTCATGTAGGACATTTTAGCCGCTTATGTTCATAAGCGGTTATATAAAAATTTGACGTTCGTCAAATTTTTTATATTATATATTTTCCCTACTGTAAAGTTTTTGCTTCAGGTATTAATATAATTATTTATTTGCTCTTGTTTCCATGTGAAACTATAACTATTTGATGAGGAGGACTGACCACAAATTGATATTTATAACCGGTGGTTAGTCTAACTATTATTAAGCCTACACCTAAATTACTATATATATGTATACACGTATGTATAACACGTTTTCCCTTTAAATTATACGAGCACCATCCTGTAATTAATCGATCGAAGCTTATAGATAGAAACGTATTCCAGTCCGTTCAGTGCGGATTACAGTTGTAGTCTAGATTGTGAATGGTAACCCTAGTTAAATTTTAAATGTGACACAGTACAAAAGTATTAATATACATTATTTATTTGTAACCCTATCTCACCAAGCGGCTTATTTGTAATCTGTGTTCCAATATAAACAGATAAAGTAGAATAGAATAGAAAACTTATTCAAATAAACATACATTGAAATAGTTTTCAATAGTCATCACTTTTTTTTTTAATCTACTCATAAGGCTTATGATAAACCCAAAACTTTGCTGAACGGGTCTTGAACTGTCATGGGTTACCTCTTATAAGAAAAAAGAGACATTTTACTTTGTATCGAATTTGGTAGCACTTTGTGGAAATCTATTTCATTAGTTAGGTTTGGATGCGTTATCAGGTAATGAATAGAACTCAAACTTATAGCTTCGAAACCCAATTTTGTTTCGTTAGTCGTAGTTTGATCACTGAAAACTGAACACTGAGCTTCTAAAGTATACGTCTCGTTCAAGGGCAAAACACGTGTCGCAATGGGAGTAGATTCAATAACAGTCAGAATTTTATCACCAATAAAGAAGGTCGTAACGCTTTCAGTAGCGGTGATCATATTTTCGCACAGAATATTAGTGGTCTTACAAATGCTAATTTTAGCGGTATTATTCAAAATAATATAAATCCATTAATTAAATTATACTTTTACTCTATCTATTTACTTCCAACATTTTATTTCCCATCCTGACGGACAGACGTCGACTTTTCTCTCTGAAATAGACGGTCCCGTGACGTCATGTCTTATATATATGATAATATATTCGTGTACTTTAGTCAAAAACGTGGGTACAGCGCAGGTAACTTAATACAAAGTAAAACATCAAATTTGTGTATTTAATTCAGCTAACAGCAAGCAAAACTGTTGCTATAAATTTAGTATAACGAAACAAAATTGGTGATTTAAAATATAGCGAAGATTAACACTCTAGTTTTAGTTTGTGTACATTTTTATCATTTACAATAATTGTATAAATATTTACATACATGAAAGAGAAGGTATGATTTATCATTTAAGCTTAGTACTGTTCCTTAACAATGATAATATATGTTTTTTTATGGATGATAGTGGAATGGTGCACCCACTTGTGCTAATGCTTTGCGCTGGCGGGGCACTAGTAAAGAATGATAAAATGAACATTAAGTCAGGTCAGTTAGTCCATCGTGACAAATTCACCAAGAATTTATCACGATGGTTTCCAGGGAGAACCACGTGGTGGTCAACTTGACATGGTAGATAACATCATCAGTCCACATTACTAACAATCCTCTTTCCCCCAATAATATATGTTATATATCAATAAATGTTTTATTGTTGACTACTTGTAACATATATGCAGAATCTTGCGGTCCTAAGTAACAACAAAGAAATCAAATGTCCCCTAACGAAAAAAGGTTGGAAACCACTGATCTATATGAATATGTCAAATTACATCAGATTGTTTACCAATAGTAACGTATAAATGTATTCATCAATTCCTATTTATATAGCCTCTGAGGTTGTAGCCGTATACTTAATAAATAACATACATACAAATTAGGTTTGCAAATTACTCATATTCAGCCTACTTAGTGAATACTGAACATTCTTAGTCGTGATAAATGAATTAGCTGTGGCTAATGATAATGATACATTTGGAGTGGTGCCATAGATTCAGAAATAATACATAGAAAATAACATACATAGAAATTATTCCATTAATATCTTATATTTATGTCTACAAACGACACTAAAATTGGTGACTTTGGAGTACGAGCCATGGAGGTAAAATCGGTCGAGGGGCGCAATGGATAAGAATAATAATAATGTCCCTGAACAATTTGCACAGCGCTATCTAGTCTACGCTAAGCAAAGCTTGTGTTATTTGTACTAGACAACTGACATAAATACATTTTTTTTTGTGAATACATATATAATACACATAGAAAACACCCAGACCGCTACAACATACTCATGAATACAAATATTTGTACCGTGCGAGTAATCGCACCCGCAATCATCGGAAATAAAGCGGTGTGCTAAACCGCTCGACCACCGAGGCCGTCATAATGACGTAATTGCTTAATCGAGGCTTTTAATTTGTGTTTCGGTAGAAGAGTCGAGATAACAAAGTGAAATTATGCAATATGAGGCATAAAATCTATTCGTCTGAAATAGCATCGTGGGCGATATGTAATCACGTAATATTCGTAATACTGTTCACTGATTTAGAGAATGGTTACCGATTATGAGTGCACACATAATCAGTAATGTAACATGCCTAAAATATAACATGTCACTAACATAATTTTGGTGCTAGCATAATTTTATTTATTTTTTTATATATGTATATATAGATTAACATTTACATTTATATATAGATTTACAGTTATTTACTATAATAGAATTTTCTTTCTATTATCAGTAGTCCCCAAACTAGGTCAGGCCTGTATCTTGCGGACAACGGTTAACTATTTTTATGCAAAGATTATTTTATATTTAGATTATACCTAAGGCTTTGTCTAAGAAGCAAAATATCTAATAGTCACTACTCAGATATTATAATTGTCTAAATCTTACCCTTATATTGAAGTGGGCCATCAGCATGTTTGACATTACAATTTTATTAAAGAAATAGATTTATGGTAAATGACGTTTTCAAGGCTCCTATAATATTATTGTTTGTATCATTCCAAGTATTTCATAAATTACATTACGTTATCTGAAATATTACGCGCTATTTTAAAATCGATGTGTACTATTGCTTGCTCTTGCTCTTTATTATTAGTAAGATTGCACAATAATGATTTTTGTTTGTTTCAGGTATCGTGGATAAGAAAAAGAGATTTACATATACTAACAGCGGGTATATTAACTTACACATCAGACCAGAGATTTCAGGTATATTTTCCTTATATATGTAGAGAAAGAAATTTATTTCATAACTTTTTTTATATTCTGTATTTATATAAATATTTGTTCTTGTTATAATAATAGATATAAGTACATTGTTAGACGTATATTATTTTTTTTAAAAGCCTATTTTGTGAACCGTTTGAAGATTTTATTTTTCGTTCTGTTTCTATCATCTCGTCTAATTTACGAATGTCCAAAACATAAATACATATTAAGTACATAAGTACACAATGTAATTTATTTTGGTACAAAGTATTAAACTCAATATTAATATTATAAATGCGAAAGTGCGTCCGTCCGTCTGGCTGTCTCGTAGTTAAGTGCCTTTTAAAAGCAAAGGGCCGGACGCATCCTAATAAAATTTATAATGAAGATAGATTGTATCACCAGGACGGATATAGGCTATATTTTATCTTAAAAATAATGTAGAAGGGATTGAAATAAGGGTTGAAAATTTATGCAAACAAAGTCACAGGTAATGCTAGTACTTAATTTATATATCAGTATATTTTTTTCTGATGTTGATGAAATGGCCCAAAGCAGAATCTATTCGCCGGGAATAAATCAAGATGTTTTCCAGTGATATTAATAGGTCAACCGATGAGACATATTTTTTATGCGATTGGGTTATGGTACAAGAACTAACAAATTTAAAGTAGCAGCAATCGCCTATATGTATATTTTCATAAGTATTCTTTTTGCTTAGCCGTAGACAGATAAAAAGTACCACTAACATCACGTTAACTCATGATGTCTTACGCGTTTCCATACATGAGGTCTAAGGTATTATACTTGAGAACCTTATAATGTGAATATAGCTGTGTTAGCTATCTTACTCTTGACACCGGATGATACCAATAAACACATTCACAAGGTAAGGCTTTTGATAGCTTAAATAGGTGAGATAGACTTGATCAAAGTACTACTGCTACAACTTTTACTAGTACTAGTAGCTTTCTGTACAGTCGACATGGTATTTTATTTTCTATTAATTTTATTTACTATGAGTTAAAAAAAGTATTTAACATTAACGTGTATGGATGGAAAGTGATATAACGATGTATGGATTATATGAAAGATATATATAAAAGGGAGTAAGGTAAGATATGAAGGCCGATAGGGATAAGTGAAAGAAGTTGACATAGTGCACCCTAGATAATGAGATAATAAGGAGGAAAGGCTATATATGATTAATTTTATTTTTATTCAACTGTACAAATTCTATGTCTAAATTAATATTTGTCTTCAACAGGTTATAAGACCAGACAAATCTGAAAACTGGACGTTACAAATTAAGTTTCCGCAAGAGAGAGACGCGGGCATTTACGAGTGCCAAGTGAATACAGAGCCAAAAATGTCATTGGCGTTTCAGCTGAATGTCGTTGGTGAGTCTATATGATTTTATATTAATCATTATTAATATAACAACAAAATACAATACAAACATTCTTTATTGTTTCAAATTCGACGCCACAGAACTCTGTTCTGGGTTATCTGTATAGTAAGGTTGTCCTGGTCCATCTGCTGTTCCACCAAGTGGCGCGTGGCCTGCCCCTACCTATGGTCAAATTTGATATCTTGAGCACTTTTTAACCACATAATCGTCTTCGCGTCGTAAAATACGAGAAATAATTATGCGCATATATTTGTATTATAAGGATTCATAATAAACTTAATAGTGACATTAAAAAAGAGTACCAAAATAATATAAAGATTAAAAAAAGGGTGGAAGGATGTGCAAACTGATAGGAACACAAAAATTAGTCGATACTCATAGTGTTTGTTATTTAAGTCTTCTTATATCTCCTAGTAAATAAGTTGTGATCGCCATTATATCGGCACGTTAGCCACAGCACCACGTCTTTACTACGCGGCATCTGCGCCGGGAATATATGTATGTATATCTTCCCTCATGCGCACCACGGCCCATGTACGCTCGACTCGAGATGATAGGTTAATGAATCGCCAGTGTTACATACACGAATGATTACGTTTACGTTTTTTATGTAACTGAAATTGCAAATAAACTGGCATAACAGAGAACGTTTTTGAAAGAAAAGAAAGAAAGAAAATTGTTTATTTGGTACACTGAAAATAATTTTTAAATTTTAATTTACATTTTTATATTAATATTTTATATTAATTTTACAGTACCAAATAGGTCTCCGCTCAGCATATGTCGTGACGGGGTGCCACGACGCTGGTTTTCTGCGGATACATTCATATATAATAAATATAATAAAATAATAATAATAATTTATAATAATAATATTTTTTGTGGTAGATGATGGAATGGCGCACTTGCTATATATATAAGCTATCAATGGAGCATTGTTCTCTATAACATTCGCTGATCCTCCTATTCCAGAAGACTCAAGTGTCACACCTCCATGTCAGTGACTAATGTGACAGCCTTATCTAACTTTTTATTGCCGATTATAAGTACATTTTGCATTCGGGTAGGTATCATAGTTCTTTCCTTCACATTGACCGATTCTCAACTCTAGAAAACATCTACTCCAAAGGCTATAATTCAACTTTACTAATTTAATACTATCAAAAGTACTTCGCGTTCAGCCGTCAAAGAAATAAGTTTGTAACTTTTTTGTTGTTTGTTTTAGAATTAACTTTTATAAATTGGAAAATAACAACAAGAAACTGTTCCTTTTTCATTCGTACTATAATAATCTAGACTCGAGAAGTTCGTTAAGAGTTTTAATTCAGCTTTTTCCGGACTACTAAATGTAATTTCTATGTAGTCTACAAGTTGCGTCACGTCGTCAGTTTCAGAGACAGTGTCTTATTTGTACTTTTAGATATATAAGTATACTCTAGTAGCTGTATTATAATAATATAACTATAGGCCTGTTATTCTGTGGAAATCAAAGGAATACACATGGCGACGTTATAGGGAACTCCTGGCTTGACATGCTCATATTCCTTTAAGTATATTTTTACACCATATGCCAGGAGGCGAGCCTACCGTCATCTCAGAGATTAATTTTGTCTACAGAAATATAAATTATTACACAAAGATTTTTGGTGTTAGCTACATCCATATCCATGGCCTTATTAAGTCTGGGTTATAAATCATTAGACTACGGCGCTATGTATTTTATTTTTATGTGATTAGAAACAAGCTGACAGATGTATCCATCGCCTATTCTTATGAACATCACTATGGACATCACGTTATCATGTGAGACCCTTGATAGCACTTATGCCATAAGTTTCTAGAGGACTCCTTTCTTGTCCTGTAATTTAATTTGCCTAGTCGGCCTAATAAATCCTATGACTGAAACGGCTTACCAAGCAGGCTACTTGGCGGATAAAATAGATGAGACCGAGGCACCCACGGTGATGATTTACATAATTCAAATATTACCTCTTATATAAAAAAATACTGTAATATTTTTTTTTATAAAACAAACAGCATTTAAACATTCTAAATTGAATGAAAGTTAGCCAAACTGGTAGCAGATAAAAAAGAAAAATTTCTCAGAAGTTAATCAAATTAATGAAAGTAAAGTAAGATGTGTATGACATATACCGAGAATTCCATGATGAGAATCCAACAAACTACTAAATGTCCAAATAAGGTGACAGGTACACAAAAGTACAATAAAAAAAACATTCTAAATTTAGACCTAACATTTAATATATAGCGGTTTCAGTTTCTTGTTTTATGTAACCTAATAAAATTCAGGCAGGTAACATAAAGCCTTATTAAAAATAGGTCTAGAAGCATGAAATTTTTAGTACGATTTATGTTTGCTCAAATCAAGCGGGAAAATCCAAGGGTAATTAGTAGTATTTAAATATAAAACTGACTAAATGGGATTTCTTTTTCACTTACTATGGTGTTATTTCAGATGTTACGTAAAGGTATTTCACACGATTAAAAATAGTTTTTGAATAAATAAATAAATTTTAGTCCTAAGGCAAATTAAATTGCAATTGTAACACACCACGAACAGCGACTTGTATTCAAATATTATTGTCTCTCAAATATCAGTGTAATATATATATATATATAATTTTATATTATGTATATTATATGTAATGAATCCCGTTAGCATCTTAATTCTATACTAATATTATAAAGAGAAATACAGGCATACAATATTATAAAGAGCGAATTTTGTTATCCGAAAAGTAATCTCGGCACCACGGCAACGAATTGAAACAATTTTTCAGTGTTTGGAAGGTACTTTTCCAGAATGATATACTATGATAAACCCACATAAAACCCACAAAGTTACGAACACCCGGGAAAAGCCTAACCACTAATAAACAGACACGATAAACTTTATAAAAAGTTGTCTGCGTGCGCATGTCAGTCTTACCTATATCAGCAAAGCAAACAGCTTACTTTGTAAGCTGAGTTCCAGATGTAGGGTGAGAAAAGGCAGTAAAATTACAGGATAAGAGACATGATATAATAGTCTTTCGTAATAGTAACATATGGGGTGGAAGGTGATTGTTAGTAATGTGGATTGATAACCCCATTGCTAGCAATGTACCATGTCACGTCGACCTCCACGCGGTTCCCCCTGGAAACCATCGTGTTAAATTCCTGGTGAATTTGTCACGATGGGCTAACTGACCTGACCTCATGGTCATCTTATCATCCTCCACTGGTGCCCCGCCAGTGTAAACCGTTAGCGCAGGCGGGTGCAACATTCCATTATCATCCACAAAAAAAAAATAGTAACATATGAGCAGTAACGGGCGATCCATCTGAACCTGGTATCCGTAGTGGTATTCATGGTATCCATAGGTGTTTCTATATCCATCAATGGTAGGCGAAGGTTAGTTACTGTACTTCCCAATATATAGACTGCCAAATGGTTTTCCATTTTAATCACTTAAAGAAAAACAATATATTAGTATTAACTTTATTAACAGCTACACAGACTCACGATCCTTTCTTTCTAATTTGTTTCAAGACTTAATAAATAATAACAGAAATAAAACATTGCACTTATTACTGGACTGTAATTAATTCACGAATCCACTCCGTCATTCTTGAATAACAAGGCTTCTCGTTTCCTAAAGAATTAATTAATATTCCAAAAGCAAATAAACACAACGACAACAACTTGACACTGTCGCCCTTTATCAAATTTTCAATAAAGCTGAACTTTGTAACATTATAATAATATTATACACCTTCAGGGTTGTTATACCAGATGAGGTAGGCAGAGGTATTATCAGCTATGTGTAGTGGTGATTGGACATTTGACGGAGTATATTTGAAACAACGGGATCGAAGCAAAGCAAATTCATTATACATATTGAATTCAAATATTTACATAGCATGCATACATGTGCGTAGCGAGTCGTAGCAGGAGGACTGACCGCCGTGGTTCACATTAATTTTGTTTTCGGTGCTACCATCATTGGATAGTCAATTCAAACATAATATATATAACAATAATCTCAGGACAATTCACACATCGCCATCGAGACCCAAGTTAAGCTAGCTAAAGCTTGTGTAATGGATGCTAGTTAACTGATACAAATACATAGATTTTTTTTTTCGTAAAAACATATATATTATACATAGAAAACACTCTAGGTGTTTACGATACAAACAATCATACTCATGAATTCAAATGTTTATGAACTTTTATACTCATGAACCGGCGACCATCGGAAGTAAGGCAGTATTTTAAACCGCCAGACCACCGAGGCCGCCAAAATAATCTTTCAGGTATAAATTTATACTAGACGTTTCGATGATGTCATATCCAAACCTACAACCATTGAGATCAAAGTCTGGTAGCAAACCGCTATTTCACAACGCTCAACACTTACAAGCAAACGTTCATTAATGACAAAGTTTCTCGTGTCTAAGTTGAAAACTACAATGCAACACTACGCTTAGCGTCACTTGACATTGCAATTTTGTATGCTTCTCTTGTTAGTACTTACATTGTACCTAATGACTTAGCAAGGCTTTGTAGTGTCAAGTGAGTTAGGTAACATTTTGTTGTCTATATAATTTATGAATTTGTACTACAAAATAATATTGAATACTGTGACTATGACGGCCACGGTGGTGTAGCGGTCTAACACACCACTTTACCTTCTTTGGTCGCGAGTTCGAATCCTCACATCGTTCAAACATTTGTATTCATGCATATGACTGTTTGTATCTGTCTTGGTGTTTTCTATGTATATTAGGTATGTATTTACAAAATGATATCATATTTACAATAATAAATATTTATATCAGTTGTCTAGTACCCATAACACAAGCTCTGCTTACTGTGGAACTAGATCGCGCTGTGTTAAATGTCCCGGGTTATTATTATTATATGTATATTGTTATATATATACTTGTGTATATGTATATAGACTTGACTATTATTATTAATCTTTTAGTACAGAATTGATATTAATTTTAGTTTTTTCAAAAATTTATATCCAAATGATAGAAATGGTCTAAAAATCTTAACATAACAATTTTTATGAAATAACATACTTGAAAAATAAAGAAATGTTTTGTTGTTGTCTGTGACAATTTTTATTATACATTAAAATATTTTGTATACAAAAATATATAATAAAATTCTTAATAATAAAAATACAATATTATATGTACTTAAAAATTATGTGGCCAGTACGTTAGCAACAGTTTCTCTAATTTATTTTCGCTCGTTACAAAAATATTAATAAAGTCATATTTGTCGATATTTAGTAATACACGTATTTAGTATAGAATATTGAATGTGTGAAGTTTTATCGAATATCAACGTATATAATAGCTGTTCATATTCTTCTTGTACTTTAACGACGTAGAAGATATATATAATGTTTTTATAGTCAATAGAAATTCTACTGAAGAGAATTGTAATGCTGTGAAATAATATCTGCGGTATTAGGCATTAAATTTATGCCGGAAGCTTAGTGAAAGTAACAACAATTTCCATTTTATTAAACATAAAATTCAGCAGATGTTGGAATACTAATTGAGTGTTTTTTTTAGAAATCTAAGCCATAACTCTTAATTATTCAAGACGGTATTAAAGGCGATGATTAATCAACCAACGACAGTTCCGTTTATACAAGTTTTTGTCTTATTATTGCCTACATAGTAATTATTTATGCAGATTTTTTTATAAGAAATATAGCGAATAGTCTGACGGCTCACGTAAGTGGTAACCGTAATCTATATCATGAAATCGGATCAGTAGAACCGGAGATTACCCCGAACATCCAAACTCATAAACTTTACCTCCTTACACTATTAGTATAGATTGTTGTGATTGTTAATATAATATAGCCGTGATAATATTCATTTAAATTATTTGGCAAACTCAAAACATTTAATACTATAATGATATAAAATAGATAATATGTTATTATAGAGGTATGGAAAGGGCTATGCTTGGAGTTTCTCTGAGAGATCAAATCCGTAACGAAGTAATTCGCAAGAGAACTAGGGTCACCGACATAGCTCTTCGTATTTGCAAGTTGAAGTGGCAGTGGGCTGGTCATATCTGTCGTAGAACCGATGCTCGCTGGAGTAGGCGTGTTCTAGAATGGAGACCGCGAATTGGCAAACGTAGTGTAGGACGCCCCGCAGCTAGGTAGAGCGACGACATACGTAGGGTTGCGGGTAAAAAATGGAAGAGAAAGGCTGAAGATCAGGCCCAGTGGCGTGCCTTGGTAGAGGCCTATGTTCAGCAGTGGACTGCAGTGGGCTGATGATGATGTTATTATATTTTACCAGAGTAGATGTAGATGTTAAAAATTCTGCACAGACTTTGTCGCACATATTTCAGCCACCACTTGCTTTGTAAGCTGTCTTTCGGTTGAGTGCAGATTGGGTAGTGAAATTACAGAATGAGAAGCATGACATTCTTTGCTCTCTGCCAATGTTTTAGTGGTATCGCGGATGTCATATAATAACGTGATGTCCATAGTGTTATTCATGCATTTACGAGACGTTATCGATTACTATCAGTCGGTTTCGTTCGCATTTGGTGAGGCTTTAAAGGGCAGCTGTAGCTAACAGAATTAGAATAGTTCGGAAAAAAAATCAAATGGACCATCAGCTTGTTTGTAAAACAATTAGGTTATAAATATAATTCCTCTATCTACCAATACAGGATTATAATCATTTTGATACTAATGATAAGATATTTCAAGCTTTTCAAATTATTAACCTTGAAAATTCTATTTCATAAAAACGAAGAATGTCGAAATACCGTTAAGATGCAAAACGAAAGCCGTAGAGAAAGGCCCCCAGATTTAATCTCGATTCAAATTTTTTCTCGAGCATTTTTTAGGGTCTTATCCCAGTCGTTGGGTACTGAAACGTGCTATATCAGGTCTAGTCCCTATTCGATAGCTACTTTTTCCTTTAATATCTTAACAAGAGCAATCTACAAAATTACATTGCTTAAAAAACTGAGAAGCTTTTTGTTGATTTGATTTCATTACTTTAAGATTAAAATTACTGTAATGGTAACTTACTACCTCTCATAGATCTCTTCATTTTCATTTTAATTAGTATCTTACCGGTGGTTTCTAGACTCTCCATAGAATGGAAAAATATATACTACTTTTTAGAGGACAATAATGATAATCTATGTAAAGTTATTGTAATATGATCATGTATTTTTAATCACAGATACTTTTCAGATATATTGTAGATTATATGGAGTAATAGAGCTTTTGCTTACAATACAATTATTAATATTTTTTTATGAATATTCCAATACATATTTGGAGTACATTTTATATAATTTCATCTGTTTCCTGTCAACTTGACGAAGATTTATATTCTCTTGAAAATAACGTTAAACCATTAACAGTTATATTTATAAATATCATAGTATTTAGATTTTTAAGATTTTTAATCAAAGGGAAACTTTGTAGATCTCTATTTCTCGTATTTCCGTCTTCAGCAGCTTAGCTTAATCCTGTTTTAACTGAAGGTATAGCAGGGAAATTGCAAGGTATATATAGAGGAGTAACACCGGAGAACTCAGAAATGGCCACGCATGAGTTCTTTATAACATTCAGTATAGTTAATGATGCCTGTGATACCGTATATATACATATATATACTCGTAAGTGTATGTACGACGGTTACCTTGTCTGTTATTTCAGCTACATCAATTTTTTTTAAACTTAAATGGGGATCCTTATTATTATTGATATAGTTAAACTATGTGCAATCTAACCGAAACGCTAAGTTAGGTAAATATTTTACATAAAATTATTCGTGTTAAAACTCATTTAACTAGATCAATAAAAACAATTGGTTTAGATATGTAGAATGTAATAGATATATTTTTTCTTTTTGTCAACAGAGGCTAAAGCTCACATCTTGGGTCCCGTAGATCTATACGTGAAGACAGGGAGTACGTTATCACTTACGTGCATCCTGAGTCAAGGTCCACATGATTTGGGCACCATATTTTGGTATAAGGGTAAGTATAATTTTACAGTTTTCTTCTAGTTTAAGTAGTATACGTGTATTCCTATTTTATATTTTTTGACATATTTCCTTAATAGCGTATTTGGTTAGCATACTGTTTGTGTATCGATGTTATTATGATTATTTAATTGAATACTTTTAAATAAACATTTATATTCGTGAATACAATTAATGTATGTATATATTTACTTATTACTATACACTACTTCAATAAGAATATAAGTATAGGAGACTAAGCTCAGATATGAAGGAATAACTGGAAGAAAATCCTTACGAGATACATACTGCGCTGATCTCCAATAATGGAACAAAGGCAATGCAAAGATAATATAGATATATATTTGTATATATATAGTCTGGATATTTTACTATTGTTATCTATATTTTTGTAAATCAGCTTAAATCTCAAAATAAATCTTGCTTAGATACTAAAAATTATACGGCACCAGCTAACAAAAACTTCCCTTGAAGTTGCCAACGATAACATTTTATACCTATTACGTGGAAAGTTCTATAAGCCCCTCAATCCAGATAGATTTTCTAACCCGCCCAAAAAGTATTTAATCTCACCTTTATAAATTGGTCGTCCTTTCCCGTTCAGTTTTCTTGTTCATTATTCTTTCATCGGAACTTCAGTCATTGGATGTAATCCCAGAACTATTTATCTAACTTCACCTTCAAGCGATTAGACTAATCGAGCTTCCTTCCTACCGTATATAACTGCTGTATAGCGGACACCGATAATTACGTAATTACGCCCTCGATATTTTTCAATTGAGTTTCTCATTTCCTCTAACAAATTAGACCACATTCGTTTCGGTAACCCAAGCTAATGGTGCAATAGCGGTTTTTTGTTTTATGTATTATGTTTACTTACGTAACAAGATTGGATAAATTGGCAGCATATTACATTTTTCGTATCAATATTAAACAGATTCTATACTGTGAATGTAGAGAACTACATGGAGTAAATTCAAAACTTATGCATAAAATACGTTCACTAGTAACATATAATATACATCGCAGTATAGTAATATGTAGTTTATTTTACAGAAGAAAATATAGATTTTAAATAATGTAATTCCCTGGAATAGATACCATATTTCTGATGCACTCTATTTAAATTTCAAAATAACCCTGAACTGCTTTTAAATGTAAATATCAAATGTTTAAAATAATATTTGATGTTGGTTACTCGTTGATAATGTATCTGAAAATGGCAAATGAAATACTTTTTTTTATATTTATCAAGTATTTTTTGAGTACGTAAATAAACAACAAATAAAAATATTTTTTCAATTTAATTAGTTTGAACAACTTTCAACTGTAACAATATTAAAGTTCACAGTAAGTAGTCAACAGAAAACTATTAAATAAAAGTGGTAGGACACTTCAGCATATTTTATAGTATTTTTTTAATGGATAATAATATTGTGCACCCGGCTGCGCTAATGATTGATATTGACAAGGCACCAGTTGAGGAATATATGATGAACATAAGGTCAGGTCAGTTAGCCATCGTGACAAGTTAACCAAGAATTTATCACAATGGTTTCCAGGGGATCCGCATGGAAGTTCACCAGACGTGGTGCATTGCTAGCAATGGGGTTATTAGTTCATATTACTAACAATCCCTTTCCCACCATTCTAATGACATTCCGAATGTCCCCATACTATTGCATTGTTAACAAACAATACAAGTATCAGACGTTTTGACTTATTACCGGGGAAACCTGAAAGTGGCTTACTTATACAAAACCGTTACCTTGAGAATATGAATGCGATTATTATGGGCACGACGGAGGCCGAAATAAGGCACTCAAATGTGTTAGTATATACAAGTCTCTCCGGAACACACTAAGACATTTATCATTCACTCCTCAGTGAAAGAAAATGTAGTGGAACACGCGTGAAAATGTATTTCAAGACGTATATGATATGGGCCATAAGAAATTCATGGAGATATACGAATAACAACGCTATCCTAGATATTTATGTCTTCAATGAATGCTTTTTAATGATTCAAGTAAGAATAAAAAACATTTTTTGGTGACTGTAATCATAAATAATAATGACATCAGTGTTCACATCAACACTGATATGTGTTGATGTGAACACTGATACAGCGCCATCCAGTCCAGATAAGGTAATGAACAAATAGGTACCGTGAGGTCAAAAAGCTACTATTGAGGGTTCCAATTGAAACTACCATTCAATAGGGATGATAGGAATTTATTAAAAAATATTACTATAGGGAGGTCATTAAAACAAAAAAAATCTTAATAGCGCCATCTACATTTACCTGTGGCGCCATCTAGTTTGCACGGAGTGAACTAATATTACACATTCGTATCTATCTTAAACATACCGCCCACCAAGGACACCATGGCCTTAACAATCTTATTATAAACAACACAACCGCCCACCATGAATAACCTAAGCACAAAATAAATTGAACCATTAAAAGTTATATTTATAAACCTAAATACATTTTTCAAACAAATTCTATAATATACAATTATGACTAACTCCATAGTAGACTGTATAAATAAAACAATAAACGAAAACAAAGTCCTTCACTTAAATTCATCAAAAAAAATACATCTAGTAGGTTAAACATGTATCAAGTATTTATATATGTAAATAACAAATCATTTTACACTTTACTATTATCATCAGTAACTGGCAATATACATACTTTAGAAACAGGGCGTTTGATCTGAGAATTTTTACATTTTAATGTAACTACACGCGTAATATTATCAGCTCCAGTATGTTTTGCGACAATTTTACCCAAAAGCCATTTAGTTGGAGGCAAATCATCCTCTTTAATCAAGACAACATCGCCAATTTGAGGTTCGGGAATTTGATGTGTCCACTTATATCTTTGCATACAATGTGACAAATACTCATTGGACCATCTACGCCAGAAGTGTTGTAGCATTCGTTGGACCAATTGCCATCTTTTTAATGAACTAATATTTAAGTTTTCATAATTTGGTGAAGGAACATTTACTAGAGGTTCTCCTATTAAAAAATGTCCCGGAGTTAATGGTAATGGTTCCTCTAGATTATTACTCATTATTGAAATTGGGCGCGAATTCAAACATGCCTCCACTTGGCACAGAAGTGTAGACATTTCCTCAAATGTTAAAGTAGCGTCCCCAATCACGCGTTTTACGTGGAATTTTGTGGACTTGATCCCTGCCTCCCATAAACCAGCAAAATTAGGTGCCCTAGGAGGTATAAACTTCCATGAAGTACCATCTGTAGCTAAAATTTCAGCTATTTCCTTGGACATCGACGAATTTTCTACATTAAATAAACATTTTAATTCTTTAGAAGCACCTACAAAATTTGATCCATTATCGCTCCATATCTCAGAACAATAACCACGACGTGATACAAACCGTTTAAATGCATCAATAAAACCTTTAGTTGACAAGTCACTCACTACCTCAAGATGGACTGCCCTTGTCACCATACACACAAACAAACATATATATCCTTTGTACGATTTATGACCTCGACCTTTTGATGTTCTCAAATTTATCGGACCCGCATAATCGACTCCGCTACGTAAAAATGCACGTGCAGGAGTAACTCGAACAGAAGGTAAATTACCCATAAATGGAGTTTGTGTTCTTGCCTTATGCCTTATACATGTTATGCATTTGCGTACGTACTGTTTAACTACATTTTTTGCTCTGATAATCCAATAAGCTGTACGTAAGTAATTCTGCATTAGTTGTGGACCACCATGCAGCGTTTTTTTGTGAGCATTGGCTACAATAAGGTGTGTTAAGTGCGAATTATGAGGTAGTAAAATAGGATTCTTTACATTATTATTTTCCAGTGACTGCTGAATTCTCCCTCCAACTCTAATTACACTATCTTTATCAATAAATGGGCTTAAATTAGTTATTTTGCTTGTCTTTATTTTAATTTGTCCATATTTTTTCAGTTCTAATATTTCCTGTGAAAATTCTCTTTGTTGACACAATTTAATACAACACATTAATGCTTCATCCAGTTCCCATTTGTTTAAATAATTTAATTGTCCATTCTCTGCTAAAATCCTTTGTTTTGTAATAATACGTCTACACCATGCTATAATTTTAATAAGCTTTGTAAGATCCGAATATTTATCTACAATAAAATTCTCTATAGTTATATGATGTACCTTTACATGTTCTTCCAAATGAGTTTCATTGCATTTTAATTTAGAATATTCTATATCTTTATTCCATAAAAATTCAGGACCGGAATTCCAAAGATCATGGGCGATAAGAAGCGATGGACTCAATCCTCGAGAGGCACAATCCGCAGGGTTTTGTTTGGATGACACGTGATACCAATGAGAGGAATCTAAAACTGTTAATATCTCCGATACCCTGTTCGCTACGAAGGTCTTCCAACTACTCGGGTGCTTACTCAACCAAGCCAATACTACCGTGGAATCGGTCCATGCCTTTACGTTTGTTATTGGAACAACTAATATATCTGCAACTTCTACTAGTAATTTTGCTAACAATACTGCACCGCAGAGTTCTAAGCGTGGTATACTAATTTGTTTTATAGGAGCTACTCGGCTCCTTGAACTAACTAATGACACGTGTACTACTCCACTCGAATCTATAATTCGAGCATATACCACAGCTGCGTATGCTATTTGAGATGCATCGCTAAAGCCATGCAATTCAACGCTGACATTATCATTCTTAGTGTACATCCATCGGGGAATCTTATATGCAGTAAGTTGTGGCAGTTCTGAACGGTAAGTAAGCCATTCTTTTATTAACTCTTTAGGTGCTTCTTCATCCCATTCTAAACCGGCCAACCAGAGTTTCTGTATCATTACTTTAGCTATTACTACACTAGGTGCTATCCAACCCATCGGGTCATATAACCTAGCTACATCTGACAATATTTTTCTTTTAGTTACAGGTGCGGACAGCGGCGGCAACTTCACTGAATATTGGAATTCATCGC